TAGTTAACAGTTGGTTCATAACTAGATGAGCAACCTATGAGCTAATCTGCAAGTGCCTGTGACCTACATCTGACAAAGCAAGATAAGATGGTCAATCTCAACCTTTAGCATACTTTTGCTTGTAACTTGTTCAGTTAACTGTCTAAGATGAAAATACTTGGAGAGGACAGAATTCACGGACAGTTAAAAGTACTTGAACTCTTGAATAATTTGCAAACTCAGCAAGAGAAGCCTAGTTATATCACAGCTGGCTACAGCTAACTACAGCTGCACGACCGGCTGTCCTTCATCTGCTTGTTGAGAGCCCCCCACCCCTCACAATTTCACCTGCACCTGCTACTCAGTACTGCTGGGAGAAGGATATCCAGCAGCCAAATGATGGCAATTCTTCCTATTGCATACGCTGCCCAACATAGCTGGGGAAGGGTGTACGAGCACAGGGAGATTTAGCAAATGAAGGAGTGGATGATGCATAGCTTGGCAGTGGGGAAGGAGAATGCAGACAACTGGGCAAGGAGGTGTGGGGGGCAGTGGGTTGCAGAGGAGGGGAGGGAGGCCCCTCGGACTCTGCCCAGGGCCCACCATAACCTGGAACTGGATCTGTGACACCAGCTGGGAGGATATTACTTAACAGTGTTCACTAATAGGCTATGTGGCAGTTCGAGACCCATGGTGCCGCATGATGGAGTGAGCTCCTGTCTCTAGTCCCAGTTCCTGCTTATCGGGAGCAAATGTTCTTTGAGTGGTCATCCCTGCCGTCACACAACCTGTTCCCCACAACAGGAGTCTTGCCTGCCTGCTGTGTCATTGTGGCCAAGAATTAGGAGGGGGATGACCCTTCCTGTTCAACTGAGGGGAAAATCAGTCTCTGATTAGCTCTGGAAAATTCTGCCAGAGGTCTTGTTGAAGCTCAAGCATTCCTAGACATGTGGCTGCACAAATGTCCAGTCAAAGAAATCCATTACAGGTAAGCAGCCACAAGTCACAGTGGGAACTCTCAGTCAGTTGTTTCCTGGAGAAGGTGAAGCTTAAAGTGTGGGAATTGGAAGGTAGTAATTTCCAGGTGCCTTTTTTTAAAATAAATATGTTGTTGATTTGTACATGTTTAATCTCCATGATGGTTGAGCAAAGTGATTTGAAAGATATCTCAGGGGATGGGCGGTAGAAAGTAAAAGCTGCCGATATAAGGATGGGGCAACACTCTCCCAATCGTGCCTGTTTTGTTCCTAAATGACACTCTGATGGATATAAATAATTTCAGAATCTGAACAGTAATGGAAGTCCTAGAAGCCTGGTGTTAGCTGGGGTGGGCTTTGTTCCTTGCCTACTGGTATGCATAAAAAAGACTTTCCACCAAACAAAGGACTGGGGAGGAATTACTAGGCCTAAGACTAGAAGTCGTGTTGGGTCCATTACAAGACTGAGCTATATGGGCATAGGCAACACTACTACACTGACCCTTTTCTTGCTTGACTGCCCTTGGCTTTATGACTAGACCCTGCCCCAATCCAGGTGTACCGAAAGCTGTCAGCCAGGCTCCATGAAGGTGATTGTGGAAGAAAAGCCAGTTTGCTGCTACGCTTGTACTCCATGTAAGGAAGGAACCATCTCTGATCAGGAAGGTAGGATGATCCACAGGAAAAAGGCGGACCTGGGAAATGAGCCCAGGATTTCATTCAGGTGCTGCGATTGGTTTACACATTCTTGGAATGTTCTTGATTTGTAGAAAGAAATCTCCGTAACAACTTTTTAACAAAGTGAGTTGAAAGACATCACATCAGGGGATGGATGTCAGGAAGCAAAAGCAGTGAGCACATAGGGGTGTTCCCTCTCCTCCTTTATGTGTACCCCTTCTGTACTTAAATCATACTTCATCCCCCACATGAGTAAATTTGCCTGTAAATATTTTCCTTCAACTTCTGGCAAGGGTTACTAGAAGAGTTACCAGTGGTCTGGCTGGTGGGGGACTTACCAGTAGAAAGAGGAAGGCTCAGGCCATGTAGCCGGTGTTCAACAAGAAGTGACATCATCACACCAGTGACATCTGGGCAATGCTCTGTTATTTCATTAAAAATTCCGTGGTAGAAATATTTTTTACCATGGAGTTTTAGCCCAAATACAAGAGTATTGCAGTGTGATGAGGTCACTTCCTTTGCAATGTCAGTGATGTGGCTTGGGCCTTCCTATTTCTCCTTGTAAGTCCCCCCCCCACCACTGGAAGATTTTCAGGAGGGAGGTGGCAACCCAAATTCTGATTGAGAATGGCCCTCTTAGACAGATGTCTTTCCTGTTTCTGGAACAAGACCTCCCTTTTAATGGATGATGTCAAGGACTGGTCCAGGGAATTCCTGCAATACACAGCATGATCTCTAGCTCTGAATTCTCCATCCCCCATCACATTTTACAAGTTCAGGATCCCCATCTTAGTCTTCTCTGACTCTTCTGTTATGTTTGGGGATTAGAACTTGTGTACCTTTTATGAAAGGCAGTAGAATAGACTGCTATGGGTGGAAGGTAGCTTCTAGTGATACTGGACTCCCTCTTGTTTTTCCAGATGCAGACCGCTGTGACAAGTGTCCAGAAGATCAGTATCCGAACAAGGACCGGACTCAATGTTTCCCCAAGGTTATAGCTTTCCTGAGCTATGAAGAACCTTTGGGGATCAGCCTAGTTTTCTTTGCCCTGCTGTTGGCCTTAACTACATGTTTTGTGTTAGGAATCTTCACCAAATACCTTGATACGCCAATAGTCAAAGCCAACAACCGGGACCTCACCTACATTCTCCTCGTCTCCCTCCTGCTTTCCTTTTTGTCCTCCCTTCTATTCATTGGAAAGCCAAGGAAGGTGACCTGCCTTCTCCGACAAACCACCTTCAGCATCATCTTCTCAGTTGCTGTCTCTTCTGTGTTGGCCAAAACGATCACTGTGGTGGTGGCCTTCATGGCCACCAAGCCAGGAAACAGGATGAGGAGATGGCTGGGGAAGAGTCTGGCAAACTCCATTGTTCTTTCTTGTTCTGTTGTGCAAGTTGGCCTCTGCGTCATCTGGCTTGGGATCTCTCCCCCCCTCCCAGATTCTGACATGCACTCCCAGACTGGTCAGATCACACTGCAATGCAACGAAGGATCTCTGGCCATGTTTTATGGTGCCCTAGGCTACATGGGCTTCCTGGCTGCTATCTCTTTCATGGTGGCTTTCCTGTCCAGGAAGCTTCCTGGGGCCTTCAACGAGGCCAAGCTGATCACCTTCAGCATGCTGGTGTTTTGCAGTGTGTGGGTGTCGTTTGTGCCCACTTACCTGAGCACAAAGGGGAAATACATGGTAGCTGTGCAGGTCTTCTCCATCTTGGCTTCCAGTGCTGGATTATTGGGCTGCATCTTCATTCCCAAGTGCTACATTGTTGTACTGAGACCTGATCTAAATACCAAGGAGCAAGTAATGGTGAATAGTAAAGATGGGATTTGATTATAGTGAGGCCTGGTCCAATGCTCCCTTTAAGCTGTGGAGTCTTGTAAGCAAACATTCTACTTCATGAGCTACAGGCATTAAAGTTGTGAGCGAGCGATTTGGCTGCTGCATAAACTAGTTTGCTCTGGAGCCATCTTTCCTAAGTGAAGACAAAAATGTGTGAGCTGGAGACTAGAAAACTGTGAGCTAGCTCACACTAACTCAGCTTAGCTTGGTCTGAATACCAAGCTTAGCTCAGTTCAGCTTGGTCTGAATACCAAGGAGCATTTAATGATGGAATCTGAGAATGGCACCTGACTTTCCCCCCAGTTTTAAATGATTTCTTCTCTGCTGCATCATGCTTAGCAGTTCTGAAACCAGTGTTCCTGATAGTGAAACTATGAACTGCTGCTATAACGTATCACCTGTGCTTTACTGCTGATTTAAAAAAAAAACCAACAACGGCAAAGGATTCAAATTCAGAATGGCACTGAAATCACAGATCGAATGTATCTGGTCTCATCCAGAATGGATTTACATGAATTTTTTTCCAGCACTTGACAGGCAGCGGCTGTACCTTTGTACTTCTTTTTCTGCACACATCTTTCAATAAAACAACTTTGGAAATACACACTTACGCATCTGTTTTTGAAAGGTCTAGTCCAGGGGTGGCCAAACTTTCTCAATGTAAGAGCTGCATAGAATAAACATCAGATGTTTGAGAGCCGCAAGACATGAACTAATATTACACACACATTTTTATTTAAAAATATACACATTTGCTTTTTATTAACGTTAGAGACTGCCAAAAATAAAAATAGAACTGGTAAAAACAGATATTGATAATGATATTTATTTGTCCAATGATATTTGTTTGCTAATTATATTTATTTGTCTAAGAGAGAGAGAAAGAGAGAGAGGTGAAAAGAAAGAATGAAAGAGGTGGAAAGAGAGAGAGAGAAACAAAGAAAGAAAGCAAATAGGTGGGTAGGAGGGAGGGAGGGAGGGAGGGAGAAAAAGTATGCCTCCCCTTCACTTTTCCAGATGCCCTGCTGGGAGCCACACAATATGTGTGAAAGAGCCACACGTGGCTCCCAAGCCACAGTTTGGTCACCCCGATCTAGTCTGTCTTGCAAAGATGGGGTTTTTAATGATCGGATATATCTATTGACAGTGCTTCTGTTGCTCAAAACAGCATCTGGCAAAAAATATGATTGGATGAGGGGACAATGAGCTTGCCCCGCCTGGGTCCATAGAAATTAGGTTTGGCTACAGGGTTCTGACATACGATCCCTAGTCTGACCTGCCAGAAAAAAGAATAAAATACCATGCAGGGTGTTAAAGGACTCAATCCAATTTTTAGATCTGCTGTTTCCCCCTTCTGCATTTGCCTTTGACTTCGAAGATTTTCAGCAGGCAGAAAACGCAAGGTCTGGAAACTTGGTTCTGTTTGACTGGTGTAGATGTAAGCTAAGATTACTTACCCCATGGCCATCAAGTTTCTGTGCTCATAAGATATTTTCAGGCTCTCCCTCTTTCAAAACCTTTCCTCTTCACGACTTCACCTCAGCAGGTGACATTTTCTTGTTCCTGGGCTTTTCTCCCTTCAGGATATCCTCTCCGTTCTGGTGCGTCACATCTTCCAACCCAGCACAGGCTGCAGCTAACAGACAAAGCCAGCGGCAATGGGCATCATCACCAAAACATATCTTTATCCAAGTGTTGAATTTACCAAGGCCAGATCTAAATTAAAACTCTGACAATGTCTGAGTGTTCATGAAGACGGTGAGCGTAGTTCTTTTGAAACCCCAACAAGCAAAGAACTGATGCAGCTAGACTAAGCAAAAATCTTTAGGCCTGGACAAACACTTCACCGATGTAAAAATATGACGAGAAATAAAAAGTAGACTACAGAGTGGAAGGACCTTCTCTTGTAACAGAAGACTTTGTCCGTGAGCTGAAGGACACCTTTGAGTCTTACCCAAAGTGTACTAAGCATCACCTTTGTTTGGTCTATTGACAGTGCTCCTGCTGCTCAACACAGCCTCATCTCATCTGGCAAAAAATACATTGAGATAGGTCTGTCCTCTTGGTCCCTGTTTCCTTCTATACCTCCAAGATGCAGATCACCTTTCACCATCTCTTTTCCCATGCAACTCCACCCAAGCTCATCCAGCAGTGCCTGTTGTTTCCTCTTCTGATTTCTCTCTCCAGCTTTCTGCTGTGCTGGAATGTGTGCAGGAGGGTGGGGGGGGGGGGGGGGGGGACACACACATAAACGGGGCTGAGAGAGAAACTCAGACCAGAAAATATTTAAAAGCCTGAAAAAGAAGAATGGATCATACCCATCGAAGGGTGTACTGGACAGAATGAGCAGGCTAGTGGTGGTGGAGAGGGCTGTCAAATCGCAGCCAACCTATGCTGAACCATTGAAGATTTCAAGTAGGGTTGCCAATACCCAGTTGGGGGCAGGGGATCCCCTGACTTGGAGCCCCTCCCCCCTCTTCAGGGCTGTCAGGAAGTGGGGGAGGATGGCCACCCGGCACTCCTTTAGGCCTATGGAGACTGGTCCCCATAGGTATAATGGAGAATTGATCTGAGTATCTGGAGCTCTGGGGGGCTGTTTTTTGAGGTAGAGGCACCAGATTTTCAGCATAGCTGGTGGTGCCTCTCCTGGGAAAAAACCCCCCAAGTTTCAAAAAGATTGGAATAGGGGGCCCAGTTCTATGAGCCCCCAAGGAAGGTGCCCCCATCCTCCATTATTTCCGACGGAGGGAAAGGATTTTAAAAGAATGCGGTCCCTTTAAATGCGATGGCCAGAACTCGCTTCAGAGTTCAATCGCATTTCTTCCCTCCCCTCTTCCGGAATCCCTTGGTAAGTCGGCTTGTCGGCCTCACCTGGCAATCCTAGTGACATCACAAAAGTGATGTCACATCCTTGCTCCTGGCTCCACCCCCAAAGACTCCGGGCTCCACCCCCCAAGTCCCCAGATATTTCTTGAGTTGGACCTGGGAACCCTAATTTCAAGAGACAAATAGAGGTGGTTTGCCATTGCCTACATGCCAACCTAGCCGTTCGAAAGCAAGAAATTGCAAGTCGATAAATAGGGACCACTTCGGTGGGAAGGGAACAGCGTTCCGTGCACCTTGGTGTTTAGTCATGCCGGCCACATGACCACGGAAACGTCTTCGGACAGCGCTGGCTCTTCGGCTTGGAAACGGAGATGAGCACCGCAACCCTAGAGTCGGACTCGACTGGCTTGCGAGCAAGGGAACCTTTACCTTTACCTTTACATGTGTGTAGCAGCCGTGGGCTTCCTTGATGGTCTCCAATCCAAGCACTAAGCAGGGCCTATCATACTTAGCTTCCGCGATCTGATGAGATCAGGCTATCCTGGGCTATCCAGATCAGGCCTAACAGGCCTAGAACAACAATCCAAAGCAGAGTAACAAGCGTCTAAAGTTCATTGAAGCCAACAGGCTCAGAAGGGTGTAAATGTGCTTACGATTTCCCTGTAAGCACAGCAGAGCTAGGAGTCAAGTTAAGACTTGGGAAGGTACAAGGAAAAGCAAACAACAGAATGCTCTCAAATGGAGCTCAGTTGTACCAGCAGGTCTTGATTCAGTGACGTTGAGGTTGCTTCTGCACAAAGTTGTTTCTTTGGGCCGGGTTTTCCCCCCGTTCTGTGTTGGTTTGTTGGTTCTGCACTAGCCAGCATGGGATCATTGTCATCTGATCATTCAGTGTTTACAGGATGAGAATGTAATCAGCCTGCTGTGTTTCAGTTTTCATTCTTCATTTCCCACCTTTAATCAGATTGATATGTGCTTTCTTCATTTATTCCATCAATGTACTATCAAGGTTTCTTGGGGATACTGTCCTTTTAAAATGTCCTCCCTGCCTTCTCCTTAAATCCTTCCTGTTCTCTGTACCCCAGGGTTGCTAAAGCCACTGGTAGCTTTTCTCTGTCTCTCTTAAATTATTATTATGACTTCCTGATAGAGGATCATATTGAACGCTTGTGTCCCATTCGCAGCTGAACGCTGAAAAGGGAAGCCATGTCTGCTGAGTTTAGTGAGTGTAGACTGGCGACTAGATAGGGAGTCTAGTAGTTTACACTGTGAACAACTTAACCCTTACTATTGTTAGCCGAATTGCTCCTTAATGGAAACAATTGGTACAGCTATTATTATCGGGATACTTCCGTCTATGTTTACGGAGGATGGCACTGTCTCTGAGGTTCCCAAATGAAAGACTGAAGCCAACTTCCTTAATAATAATGATAGTTTACTGACACACTTCACTCAATAATACACAACATTCACAGACACACACTATAGAACTATAAGGAAACAGAGGTGATTGATGGCTTATAGAGGTAGCTTATAGAGGTAGCTTATAGAGGGGTGCAGAGGTCCATGGATTGTGGCCTAAACTCAGAGAGTTTAGGGGTGGCCTGCCATGTTGAGTTATGGCAGAGAACACACGGGCTGAAGCCATGTTTACGCTGGGATATACCCTATGAAAGACAATGCAGACCAATGCCTGATCCTGGGGGCTGGTCTCAGGTGAGAACAATAGATTTCCTGGACCAATGATGAGTCCCAGAGGTGTGTGGCATCAGGAGGGGCAAGGCCTAGATGTGACCAATGAGCATCCAGAGGGGCAGGGTCTGGATTTAACAATAGAAGCCAGGTGCTGGGCGGCTAGTTAAATGGATAATCTGACCACTTAATGGTCCTGGCCAGGGTAAACAAAAGTTGGGAGATGTCCCTGATTAGCGTCAGGAAGGATCGTTAATAATTTGAATGTTTAATTGGTTTATCCCAGTTATCTTGATGGACAGAGCAGAAAAGATAAGTATTCAGACAAAGAATTACTGGAGACAGAGTTATTTGCCAAGTGGCTTTTGAATAGACTTTAGAAATGCAGATACTTTACCTGCTAGAACTCATTGTTATTCCATAAGCATAATCTCTGCTTGGGTGGAGGGGGAAGACTGGAGGCTTGCTCTGAGGTTGCCTGCCACCTGAAAATGGAGACCCCTTTTTCAGAGCTGTGGCTAGCTCTGTGTTTCAGAACCAAGAGTGCCTTCCTTGGCCTGGATTTTGTGGGTCTCTGGGTCAGGTTAGAAGTGGGGTGCCCTTGCTATTGGGGCTACCCAATAGTAAAAGGCAGCGCCTCTGGTTTACACTATGTTAAATGGTGAAGGGAGGGGGAGCTTAGTTATACTTGTATCCAGAATCCTACTTTGGTGTAGTGCCAGTTGGTGTAGTGGTTAAGAGCAGTGGACTCTAATCTTGGAGATCTGGGTTTGATTCCCCACTCCTCCACATGCAGCCAGCTGGGTGACCTTGGGCCAGTCACAGTTCTCTCAGAGCTGTTCTCTCAAGAGCAGTTCTCTCAGAGCTTTCTCAGCCCCACCTACCTCACAGGGTGTCTGTTGTAGGGAGGGGAAGGGAAGATGATTCTAAGCCACTCTGAGACTCTGAGTGAAAGGTGGGATATAAATCCAATCTCTTCTTCTACTACTTTAAAATTTCCCAAATAATTGAAGCTTTCATGAAAGCTCATGATGCTATGAATTGGTTTGCTTTTTAAACTAAACAAAGTACAAAATACCAGACAATGTAACAATAAAATAGATACATTGTGAAGTTGACACAGATACCTTGGCCCAGGGGTGTCAAACATGCGGCCCAGGGGCCAGATTAGGCCCCCAGAGTGCTTCTATCAGGCCCGCAGTGGAACTGGCTGTCTTGTACTTCTTCTTCCAGTTCTGCTGCTGCTGTATCATCATAGATTTGCAGCTTACAGATACACACCTGAAATACATACTCAAGATTGCAACAGCACAGACATTTTGATGCAATAATTCAGAGCAAGAGGTGTCAGTTATCAGACACTGTTGTTAAAGGATGAGACCGATATTTGATTCATGTTTGCTGCCACACAGACACACAAATGGACTGTGCGCACACACACCCATAGGCTCAGAAAGCTGTACAAATCACCTGTTGTGACACTACACATAGAAGGTGCCTGCACAAAGCCTTACATGTGAATAGGTTTTCAGCTACACTGCCAGCCTGGTGAAGGAAAGCACACATCTCCATATTGTCAGCAGAAACAACAACTTAAGGAGAAGCAGCCCCCATTGCTAAATTGTTGAAAGACACGTATTCCACATCTCTGCATTATTTCTGAATGGCATTTCCTGCGAGATGGATCCTTTGATGACCTGGGAATGGCCGAGCTTCATCTGCACATCAACGAAGCTCCTTGACGCCAGGTTTCACACTTGCCCAGATGCCCTACTTTGAGTTAGGTCTTAAGTTACAATATTGCCCAACCCTCTCGGTTGCCACCCCTCACTGCACGCAACCAATAGGATTAATTTTGGGACGGACTAACAGGTAGGTGGGTCCACAGGTTGGCATAGTTGCCACCCACCCAAAGATCTACCTATAAAAGATAAGGACCAGTCACCTGGCCTTTGCTAGCCGCAATCCCCCAACACCCCGTCTGCTTTAAATCCTCTTTTGTCCAGCTTTCTATCCCCAACCCTTGCCTCTACTGCCCACACAAGTTGGCTGGTTCTAGCTGTGTGATAAACTTCTCTAGATTCTATTTCTTCCCATCCATTCTTCATTGGAACTGACAAGCTTCAGGACAGATAAGTATCTCCCATCATCACCCTACCTGCTAATGCAAAAGTGACTATTTTAGTTCTGTATTTCTAAGGAACTTGACTGAGTGTGTGAGTGCATCTATATTGTTTGTATGTGATTTATATATCCTAAGTAAAAGACAATCATTTTGAACAACACTAGCCTTGACTCCTTCTACTGGTAACCCTTGGTGGGAGCTGGACCTTGGTAGACACTGGCAAGAACCCATATAAAATTTGCCAATTGCTGTAGATAAAGCAATTCGGGTAACACTGTTAAATAAACAAAATATTGCAAGAGTGCTAATGTTTTAAGCATGTTTTTATTTTAAGTAAAAAAAACCGCTTTGTGTTTGTGTCCTTTATAAAGTTTATCTCTGCTACCTGGCATTACATTTTATGACACACATGGCCCACCCCAACAAGGTCTCATTTATATCAGATCCGGCCCTCATAACAAATGAGTTTGACACCCCTGCCTTAGCCCATACAGAATCACAGAAATGTAATACATATGAGAATACAACCTGTCATTCCCTCAATGATCCCTCCTTTTTACCCAATTGCTATCTTTATGTGTGGCATGTGTTTTAACCTTCTTTTTTCATTGTTTTAATGGTGTGTTGAGGGGGTTTAATTGTTTTAAATGTGATTTTTTACGATGTACGTTTTAAATTGTTAGCCCATCTTCGTGGCTTTCCTATGGGCAGAAAGGTGGGATTACACATTCTGCAAGTAAATAAATACAAAAATGCACAATCTAAATAAAATGTAAAATTGTATGTCCATAAACAATACGAGCAAAATACATCATGACACTAGTAACATCAGAGAAAATGTTCATTATCTATAGTCTTCAGCTGTTTTGTACCGATCAGATAAGGAGATGATATGAATCTCGCATGACTCGAAGCTTAAACACAAGTGGTGGAAAGTACTGTTGCATCACAGTGGACTCATGGCAACCCATTATGGGGTTTTCAAGGTTGCTGGCCTCTGCCTAGTGACCTTGGACTGTCTGGTGGTCTCCCATTCATGTACTCACAAGGACAGGACTTGCAATAATGACTTTATATTGAGGGCGGGAAGGTACCAGCTGGATATTAGGAAAACTTTTCCCCCAGTCAGAGTTGTGCAACAGTGGAATCAGCTGCCTCGGGAGGTGGTGAGCTCCCCCTCAGTGGCAGTCTTTAAGCAGCGGCTGGACAAACACTTGTCAGGGATACTCTAGGCCAGTGATGGCGAACCTGTTAGAGACCGAGTGCCCAAACTGCGACCCAAAACCCACTTATTTATCGCAAAGTGCCAACACGGCAATTTAACCTGAATACTGAGGTTTTACTTTAGAAAAAACAACTCATACATTAACATAAGATGATCCAAACAAAGTAAGGAAAGCAATCCCAAATGCTTTCATTTACTTAAAATGATTTGGCAGAGAATTCGACACTTTAATGACGGTCTGGGCCTGGCTGGGGCGATGGCACGCGTGCCCACTGAGAGGGCTCTGAGTGCCGCCTCTGGCACGTGTGCCATAGGTTCGCCACCACTGCTCTAGGCTGATCCTGTATTGAGCAGGGGGTTGGACTAGATGGCCTGTCTGGCCCCTTCCAACCCTGCGACTCTATGATTCTACTTACTCTGCTTAACTTCCGAGATCTGATAAGGTCAGGCTAGCCTTGAACACTGACTTCCATAATAATCTTTTCAAGTCAAGTCAAGTCAATAAAACATGTATCATTTGCCCATGGACACCTTTTTCTCCCTTGTGTGGATGATTAACCATGAATCTAGGGCTGTGTGCTACCTGAATTACTTTCCACTCGCCAGAAATTTGTGTTGCTTTCCCCCTCTGTGGGTTCTTCAATGAGAATTAAGGGGTCTCCACCCACTGAATCTCTTTCTGCATCCGGAGCATTTATGTGGTATCCTCTCATATAAAGGCAAGTATGTGTTAAAAGGCTCGTGCTCCACCTGTATTGCTTTCCACACCCCAAACACTTATATGGTTTCTCTCCCGTGTGGGTCCTTTGATGAGAACTTAGAGATGAGCTCACGGCAAAGCCCTTTCCACACACTGAGCATTTATAGGGCTTCTCTCCTGAGTGGATCCTCTGATGATAAGTAAGGGTTCCTCTGTGACTGAAGCCTTTCCCACAATCTGAGCATTTATATGGTTTTTCCCCTGTGTGGATTATTTGATGAGAAGTCAGGGTTGTGTGCAGGTGGAAGCCCTTTCCACATTCCATGCATTTATATGGTTTCTCCCCTGTATGGAGTCTTTGATGCAGATTTAAGGATGAACTAGCCTTGAAACTCTTCCCACATAGTGGACATTTATATGGTTTCTCCCCTGTGTGGACTCTTTGATGTTTAATAAGCAGTTTGTTCCATATGAAGCTCTTCCCACACTCTAAGCATGAGTATGGTTTCACTCCTGTGTGTATTCTCTCGTGTTTCTTCAGGCTTGAGATACCGTAGAAGTTCTTACCACAGTCTGAACACTGATATGGTTTCTCCCCTGTGTGTGTCCTTTCATGGGGAGTTAGGGATGAGCTCTCCTTAAAGCTCATTCCACACACCAAACATTTATATGGTTTCTCTCCTGTGTGGACCCTTTGATGCTTAAGAAGGTAGTTCTTCAGTCTGAAGCTCTTTCCACACGCCAAGCATTTATAAGGTTTCACTCCTGTGTGGATTCTCTGATGCCCATTGAGGCTCGATTTGGCACCAAAGCACTTGCCACAATCTGAACACTGGTAAGGTTTCTCCCCTGTGTGAAGTCTTCGATGTGTTGTTAGGGATGAGCTCATAGTAAAGCTCTTTCCACATTCCAAGCACTGATATGGTTTCTCCCCTGTGTGGGTCCTTAAGTGGGATGTTAGGGCTGACTTCACCTTGAAGCTCTTACCACAAACTAAACATTTATACGGATCCTCTCCTGTGTGCATTTTATGATGTGAGAGGAGGCTTCCCTTGTGACTGAAGCTCTTTCCACACTCGAGGCATGCATGTGGTTTTGCCCTTGTGTGAATTCCTTGGTGTCTCCTAAGGTTTGATGGCGTACTAAAGTTTTTCCCACAAACAGGGCACACATTTCTTCTTCCGGTGCTATGTTTCTCTTGCTGGAATGTGATGTCACGGAAATGCCAACACAGAGAAGCTTCGAATGTGTTCCTTTGATTCTCTTTTTGATCTCCTTCCTGTATTTTTGATCTTTGTTGCTTCTCAGAATTCTCTTTCATCTCAGAAATTCCATTTATTTCTACCAATACTGCATTAGGTTCCCCCTCGTTCTTTCTCTCTTCAGTGTCACATCCTGGAATGTAAGAAGAGAACAAAAATAACTCTCCAAAAAGGAGAAAAGTAACAGAGCAATGGAAACGCTGGGACATCCAGGAGAAATTCATTAACTGCAAAGGGAAATCTGCAAAGGTGTAGTGGTTAAGTGTGCGGACTCTAATCTGGGAGAACCGGGTTTGATTCCCCACTCCTCCACTTGCACCTGCTGATGTGACCTTGGGTCAGTCACAAGCTCTGAAACAGCTGTCCTTGAAAAAGAGCAGTTTGTGTCAGAGTTCTCTCAGCCCAACCCACCTCACAGGGTGTCTGTTGTGGGGAGGGGAAGGGAAAGGAGTTTGTAAGCCACTCTGAGACACCTTTGGGTAGTGAAGGGCGGGGTATAAATCCAATCTCCTCCTCCTCCTCCTCCTCCTCCTCCTCCTCCTCCTCCTCCTTCTCCTTCTTCTCCTTCTTCTTCTTGAGGCGGGAAAGCTACAGGTCATTCTGGTCGGAGATACCTGTGCAATTCTCAGCAAATAATATATTCTGAGGCACTGAGTAGTATCCAAGGATGAGTTTCCTCTAGTATCAGCTGCTGAAAAGCAAATGTGCTGAACTAGTTTTAAGGTAGTGGACCACTTTCTGCCCACCCCAGCCCTGAAGAGGAAAGGGAAGTCTGCTGCAGTACCCTATCAAGCAGGGGTCGTTTCGTAGAAAAAAAAGGTGCAGGAGCTTATTAGCATACCTCATTAGCATAACTTATTTGCATATGCCACACACCCTGACATCACCAGAAGTGTGCCAGAAGGCAACACCCACTGCTCAGGCTCCACTGGACTCTGAATTGCTAGCTATGGGGGAGGAACGCGCAGATCTGCCCTCACAGAGGAGGGAAAGCTTGTATCTGAATAAACCTTGGCTTTAAAGGTGTCACTGGACTGTTTTGGATTGCTATCTGGGGGGGGGGGGGCTCTGCAACTTGCCTGGCTGCTTCTTGTGGCCAGGGGCTGCTGGGAGCAGGGGGTGGGGCTTGTTGCATGTGCCCGCCCCCTGGGCTCTTTACTGCCGGAGCTCCGCTCCTGTGCGCCCCTGCAGGAAATGACCCCTGCTAACAAGTCGGCAGATGACATGAAGGCAACAGATATACTCAAGCAAGGTTTTACCAAAATGTCCATTCACGTAGTCACTGTGGAGAAGGCAAGGGATAGTAATCTCTGAAGGGAAAGTCCCAACAGCCAGAGAGAAGCATCTTTGTTCACCTCATCTCCTACAAAGAGGAAGGAGGAAATAGGTTCTGAGACCTCCCTGGCTTGATAGTCCCTCACTCAACTCCAACAGAAGGAATCTGCAGAAAGACCCCAACTCATGGCCAAGCCAGAAGAACGTACAGGATATTGGATCTTAGCCTTTATACCTGAGCAGAGAGCTTGGCCATGAATTTCTCCTTTGAGGGGAACTCTTACACTGCAGTCGCAAGTAATGGTGAGGATCCTTACCAAGAAAAGCTATATTCCCAGAATTCTTCTTCTTGACTTCACTGTGTTTTAATTCTTTTCAAATAGTATATCCTAACTTTCCTCGCGGTTCAAGGCATATTGCTAAGCTCTGTGGCACTGATTAATCGTGAGCGACAATGAAGAAGAGATTGGATTTATACCCCGCCCTTCACTCGGAGTCTCAGAGCAGCTTACAAACTCCTTCCCCTTCCCCTGTGAGGTAGGTGGGGCTGAGAGAGCTCTTTCCAGAACTGTCCTGGAGAGAACAGCTCTGAGAGAACTGTGGCTTGCCCAAGGTCATCCAGCAGCTGCTAGTGGAGGAGTGGGGGATCAAACCTGGTTCTCCCAGATTAGAGTCCGCACACTTAACCACTACACATATCTCAGAGAAAACAGATGGTCTCCATTATTAGGCTGACAAAAGACTGAGTTTTCTAACCATGCCACCTGGTGTGTGTGTGTGTGGGGGGGGGGTTGCAACAATTCTACCCTTTTCCATTTTATCCTCACAAAAACAACCCTGCAAGATAGTTAGGCTGAGTGTGTGTGACTGACACAAGATCATCCAGCAAGCTTCCATGGGTAGATTGTGGATTTGAACCTCGGTCTTCCAGATTCTAGTCTGAGTTAATTGGGGGACACACAACCAGGTATGTCCTCTGCATGATTTAGGGAGCTGCTGGTGACACACAGGTTCTTTAATCCCAGAGCCATCTTTTTTTCTTTTTTTTAAAATCGTTTATTTTCATTTTTCATAAAACGTAACATAACAAACATATATCCTCAAAAATCATCTCGGAGTCCCTAACTGGAGATAGGTGGCCCATAAATTGTTGGACGTGGAAATAAAACTCTCTTTTTCCTTCCCGTCAAATGCCAAGGAGGTGGTGGAAATATTTGATTAGAGTTTGAAAGCAACCTAGAACTGAGTGTGGGCACTGAAAATGCAACCCATACAAACTACAAGTGCTGTAGGTTGGAAGCAGAACTGAATGGGGATTAGGTTTTTGATCAGTTTTGGAATTCCTTTGGAGGACCAAGTCCTGAATCTAGCGCTGTTTCTTGATAAGCAGCAGGAGGCAATTAAGAGTTTAGGATGCTTTGCTGGCTGTGGAAGTTCCTAGATTTAGTTCATTAAATAGTTTTATTAGACAGGGCACGTCTTGTCAAATGCATAGTTTAGATTTCAGGTAACAAGACTGGAAAGGAATCAGGAATGGAATTCTAAATCGAGAAGGCTGGCTTCCACGCAGGATATGAGGGTACTGCTATCAACCTACTGCATTTGTACTAGTAGAACAATGTCACAGGCACAAAACCAAAGCTCAAAATGCGTGCAGAGCCAATAATTCTGTAGTCTACATAATTGTGTAAGGGACAATCAGTCATAAAGCAGGGCTCTTTTTGTAGCAGGAACTGCTTTGCATATTAGGTGACACACCCCTAATGTAGTCAATCCTCCAAGAGCTTACAGAGCTCTTCTTACAGGGGCTACTGTAAACTCTTGGAGGATTGACTACATTAGGGGTGTGTCGCCTAATATGCAAAGGAGTTCCTGCTACAAAAAGAGCCCCATATGTAACCACAAAAACAATAAAATCAACAGTAAACAGCTAACAGAAATCCATAGAAGTAATCAACACCACCTTGGGAACCTTAATTATCAAATATCCTCTACACTAAAGACAGGATTTAAGGATCTGCAGAGGGCCAGAATTTATCTTGTTTATTAAAATCTCCCTTATAAATAAAAGCCGAATGGTGGTGGCACTTCTCTAGAACATTCCACACGCTCCAAAATCAGTTCGCTCTCTGATTTATCAGCGGGTCTCCCTATCCACTGGCTGCTTTGCCTGAGTCCTGCCTCCAACATTCTAAACAGTTTGCTGTTCCTCTCCCCCCCCATAGCCAGTCAGAACACAGAGGTTATTTGCATATGCAGCCTCATTGGCCTTTGCCTCAGAACACAGAGCTCGTTTGCATATGCGACTTGATTGGCTTTTGCCTCTAACATTCTAAACAGTTTTCTGTTCTGAGGTAAAATGTGTCCAATCTCCAGGTGAGGGCTGGAGATCACTCAGAATTACAACTGCTTTCCAGATGGCAGAGATCAGTTCCCCTGGAGAAAATGGTGGGCTCTGTATCCTTATATGCTGCTGAGGTGGCCCCCATATGACAGCCAATGTGACATAGCAGTCAGAGCTTCAGAGCATGGGAAAGGCTGCAGGTGTGTGGGGGGTGGAAAGCTGAAGAGTGAGGGGGAAATAAAGGTAGGTTGATGGGGAGGAGATAGGGTTGGAAGGAGATAGGGTTGCCAACTCCAGGTGGGAAATTCCTGGAGAGGGTGAGGGATGGAGCCTGGAGAGGGTAAGGTTTCAGGAGGCGTGGGACCTCGGACAGGTACAAAGCCATAGACCAAACCAACTATTTCCTTCTGGGGAACCATCGTTGCCAATCTCCAGGTGAGGGCTGGAGATCACTCAAAATTGCAACTGTTCTTTAGGTAGCAGAGATCAGTTCCTCTGGAGAAAATGGTGGACTCAGTGTCATTATACCCTGCTGAGGTTGCCACAGCAAATTGACACTGAGTGTCCAAGGCCGGGGCACCCGCCTAGAGCCTCTTTCTAGAAGTCGTTGTATTTATTTCCACAACGAGCCTTTTTCCTAGTTATTTATATAGATCATCCGATGAGACTCAAAAGTGAGTAAGTAAGATGTGTCTTCTGGGGATGGAAGTCCCAAAGTCTGGGGAGCGGCACTCTTAGTCATGTTTCAGCATTTTATGTTCTATGAGCCAGGGGGAAAGCCAGGGTTAGGAGAAATGCTGTAGGAAAGATGACAAAAGGCCAACCAAAGGAAGGAACCCTCTGAATACCGGTGCCGGGAGGCAACATCAGGGCCTCAGCCTCTATGCCCTGTTTGCTCGTCTCTTCAATCGTAAAAGGGTTGGTGTGAGACAGGATGCTGGACTTGATGGACCAGTGGTCTGATCCAGCAGGGCTCTTCTTAGGTTCTTAACTCAGTCACCGAGCCTTAAGCAGAAGCCACTGACCAGT